GTACAATAACTATTATAGTGTTCTGGTGAATGATAACTCTTATGGATTCTTCTCAGCAAATGGGGGCATTAAGCAAAGGGAGCCTCTCTCGCCTACTATTTTCATCATTGCATTTGATTATCTCTCCCGATTACTCAACAATTTGCAAATTCAGCATCCCTACACTCAATTCTCCCACAAATCAAAGATTTTAGTTAGCCATCTGGCTTATTCTGATGATGTCATTCTCTTTTTTAAAGCTAGTAAAAATGCTATCAAAACTTTAATGTTGCTGCTGAATGAGTTTCAAAATGTTTCTGGCTTGATTTTCAATAAGGCCAAATGTAATCTTTACTTCGGCAAGTCTGTTAAAAGCAATTTAGCTAGTTGAGTGAATTCCTATACTGGCTGCTTATGTGCATCTCTCCCTCTCAAATACCTTGGTGTCAATCTTTTGAGGGACAGAAGGAAACAAATACAAATGAATGATGTGGTTTACAAAATTAAATTAAAAATTGCTGATTAGAGGAATGTTTTCCTTTCTAATGGTGGTAGACTCAAAAGTGTATTCCACAGCATCCCTCTGTATGCAATGCAAGTCTTTAACCCCAAAAAAACACTCAGGATATTGGAGAAAATATTTAGCAAATTTTTTTGGTCAGGTGGAGGAGCAAAGAAAATTTGGGTAGCCTGGAATAAAGTTTGTAAACCAAGAATGTCAGGTTGTCTTGGTTTTAAGACTTTGCACCAAATTGCTGAAATTACTATGTGCCAGTTTTGGTTTAAATTTAGAATGGGAGAATCTTTAAGGGCTATGTTTTTACTTCACAAGTATTGTGCTCAGGCACACCCTTCTTCGGTTCTTTGGAAGGTTGGTGATTCGAAAATTTGGAAAACTGTTTTACAAGCAAGGTCTGTAGCTAAAAAAAATTATTTTTTGGGATATTGGTGAGGGTAATTTCTCTTTTTGGCATGATCATTTGGGTATAATAAATCTTATTGACCACCCACACCAATTGCATGATGATAGAATGCTAGTTTTTAATTGTTGGGTCGATGGTGTTTGGGATGTTAGTAAATTAAGAAATCTGGTATGTGACACAGCTATGCAAATATCTCACATCCCAATACATAAAAATAAAAAGGATACCCCAGTTTGAAAACTCAACTCAAAGCTGCCGATCACTAAAATGCTCTACTCAAAACTTCAAACCTTCAGTGCTTGGTGTTGGGGCCACTTGATTTGGAATGCCTTCATCTCTCCGTCCATCTTTTTTTTCTTATGGAGGTTTTTCTTTTCCATGCTACCACTTAATGATATACTTAAATTAAAAGGTCTAACAATGGCTTCTATTTGGCATATCCGTAAATGAGCTGAAGAAACATCCACTCATCTTTTTAATGATTATTTTTATGTCAGAGAAATCCGGTCAATGCTGGGGAGGAATTTTGGGATTACATGGCCTCAAAGATTCTCTATGGAGGATTATTTGTTGGTTTGGAAAGCTGCTAATCTTATTGATCAAAGACTCAATTACTTTCCTTTGGTTGTGATATTCATCTGGTCTGCTAGAAATAGCTACAAGTACGATTTTTCTCTCCCTCTCCCTATTCCTAACTTGCACTGTTTCATATCTTCTTGCATAATTTACAAAGGCTTGTAGAACTTTAAAGGTAGATGCCAATACTCCTTTTCCAAAGAAAGTTAGGATGCCTGCTTTGGTAAAGTGGCAGCCCCCTTCTTTTGATTGGCTCAAAGTTAACATTGATGGCAGGTGGGTTTCTAATGTTTCTGGTGTTGGAGGAATATTTCGAGATCACTTGAGCATTTCTTTATGTCACTTTGCCTCGCCTGTTAATGCTTCCTGTCCAATTAAGGCTGAATGTTGGGTTGTCTTGCTTGCTTTACAAATTATTGCTATCTTCAAGTTTTCATCTTTAATTGTAGAAACTGATTCTATCTCTCTTTATGAAATGTTAATTAAGGCCTCCACAGCTTACTGGAATTATATTTGCATCTTCAATTGAATATGGGAGACAATCTCTAAGAACCATCTAACGGTTCAAATGAGTTTCATTTACAGGATGGTAACTCACCGGCGGATTGGCTGGCAAAGCGTGGTGTGGCTGGGCCTTTTGTGGGTTTGGAACCTTCTTCCTATCTTTATACACTTCTGAATGGTGATCTATTGGATTTGCCATATATTAGAAGATAGTACTGCCTTTTGTTTTCCCTTCTACGTCTGGGATACTGCTAATCTTGCTGCTCGTGACCTTCAGTACTGAATTTTGTTGGTACTCTGTCTTATGGTAGATGCTTCTACGTAATATGGCTTTTGGGTGTCTTCTCACCCCCCTACAATTTCTTCCTGATCACGGCTTCCTTGAAACTCCTGATGACTGCAAGCTTTCCATGCTCCTATGGTTTATGATTAATGCTTCTCGTTTTACTATTTCCATGCTCCAATGGTTTATGATTAATGCTTCTTGTTTTACTATTGCAAACTGTTGGTTTCCCTATTTGGATGCTAATTTGGCTTGTTGTTGGGTTTCTTGTGCAATACTGAGCACTTTTTTGGATTTCGGCTACACATATATTTTTTTTTTTTTTGTAATTTTGACTTTTTGGGTATACTTGTATATTCTTTTTGGTGAGTTTTCTTAGGTGGAGTCGCAATGATTGAAGGTGGAACCCCCTATGTGTGAGTACTGTCTCTTTTTTTAGGTTTTTTAGATGTGAGGATCCACCTCCACCCCCCTTTTGTAATTTCATTTTGATTTAATATATATGAAGCCGTATAATGCTCCTTCCCAATATATATATATATACATATATATATATACACACACACACATATACGGACACATATATATGACTCAATTCCTATGTATATACACCTCTAACATCTAAACTTTAATTTTTACATATATTTCCCCTTACCTATGCATAGAAAGGTATATTTCAATTTTTAGAAAAAAATTAAAGGTATTTTTAATGCGATATTAAATATTTGGATAGTATAAATGTAAAAAAAAACAAAGTTGAAATGACTTACATTAGAATTGGCTAGTAAGTACTTATATTCCCTAAATTTAAAAGGTTTATAAATAATGTTTTCAATCTTTTGAATCTCTTATATTGCTAAACACATGAGAATAGAATTTTAGAAGATCTTATGCTTTTCTTAAAATGAAGCCAAACATAACAAAGAAGAAATTACATGCATACCACCCAAGTCTTATGTTTTTACATATCTAACATCTAAATTTTGTTTTTTAATATAAATCATCCAAGTATTCCATATCAAATCAATAAAACCGCTACTTCAACTTATAAAAAGTGAAATACACCTTCTCGTGAATATATAAAGTGGCATAGATGTTAAAAATTGAAGTTTAAGTACTGGATATGTAAATATATAAGAACTAACAGGCATGTATCTAAACCTTCCTTTCTTTAATGATCAAAAAATTAAGATGTTATTCCCTCTTCATATAGAAAAATCTAAGAAAACTAAAAAATCTGATAAAATTCTTAAACAACCCTCAATGAAGTTTATTAGCCAATTTTCCTAGCAAGGCAAAAAACTAGGCTCCACAACTCAACATGATGAGCTATAATAAATTCAATTAACTTTTGTTAGTGTCATGTTCTTTAAAGCATTTCTTCAAATGGGTCGTTCGCAAAGACATAAACTTGAGGGGAACTATTCAAGTCATTGACACGGTGTGAAACATTTTCTATTCCACCATACCATCCAATGAACTAAACCATAAAAGAAAGAGACTATCCAACTACCTCATACCAACACCATTTTCATGTTCAAGGCTCCACAAAGAAGCATTCCTCCATTAGTACTCAATATAAATAAAATAAAAAAAACATTTACATGCATACCACCAAATTTAAGAGTATATATCCCCAAAGGATCCACCTTTCTAAATACTGGCAAAACTCTTAAAATAGAACAAGTGGCGCAATATATTATCACAAACACAGTTAGACGGAAGATTCGCGTAAGCAATGGCATTAACTAGCCCAAAGAACCAACTCACATTTTAAAAGAATACTCAACTCAAACATCCAGTTATTAAGCTCACAAAATTGACTTAAAATAACTTCTTGTTTGTAAGCTACCAACAGATGATCAGTGAATTGAAACCAAACCTACTTTCATCACAAAATGGTTTTCCTTATTGTGGCATACCTCAGATTTTATGAGGCAGGTGGGGTTGGCGATCAAGCCTTGGCAAAGACGAGCAAAGTCGACGCCCGAGATAGTGTTGCGTGAGACAGTAGGAAAGGAGAAGATATTTTAGAAAGATGTTAAACTCCAATGTAGAGGCAAAGCCAAGCGGTTGTCTTGTAGGTGCACAGCAATCTTGAACCCTCAAAGCAAACGACAGACGAAGGCACAAAAGTCTTCTACAAACAAAGGGGCTTCGTTGGAAAAAATCTCAAGATTAGAAGAGGTTTTGTGGGAAATAAGCGCCTTGAGCATATTTGTTTTTCGGTCAATTTGAGCGGAATTAATTTACACGTAAAAGTAGTTTTACGGTAAATGTTATATACCCTTTAAATTCATAGCATTTTTATTTTACAGCATACCAAATATTAAAAAATTAAATGTTCATGTATTTACTTTATAGTACACCCTGAAACTGTAAACCAAACAGCACCAGAGTAGCCAAGAAAAAATTCATTTCCACCTAATAAACTTCTTAACTTTATAGTGTGAGGGTAACAAATGTAGGGATGGCTGTCAACGACTCTATTTATTCGCTAACTCCCTTCTCTCGCACACAAACACACGCCTAACTCAACGCATAGAAAAGATTGGGGCAGTGATAGATAAAATTTGGCACATTCTTGGTAATCTTCCTCTGCCAACATATAAAATTGAGATCTAAACTTGTAAATGAAAACACTCAATAATGATTATTGAATAAGTTGAAGCATATAAAACAAAAATTTTACACAAGCACAATACTATTTAAAAATACTTTCTTATAGAACACACCTGAGTGAAGTAAGTAAATCTTTTTATGCTCCATAAATAGATTCAATTGAGGACGCCTAGTAAGCCACTGAAGCATGACAAAAAGTTGTCATCAAATTCATCTCGTATGGTCATCGGAACCAACAAATATTAAACATGGTAATTAAATAATAATAAATCAAACTTAATTCTAAGAGAACTCAGCATTCGTATGTCAACTTATATTAGATTTGTTCAAGTGCTTCAATATACAATTCATCAGCACATATAATTTCTCAAAGATATCAGACAATGAAAGAAGCATATTTGGCTTCTAAGATATCATTTGGCAATGTTGTGTTGTGCTATTGTACCCCATTAAATAAAGATGTTGCCTCCCTTTGCAAAAATAGCAAGTGCATTCCCATGGTTAATCAAAATCAATGAATGCGATGCATGCAAGGGTAAAGCATTCCCAAATATGTTTATATCATAAAAAAAACAATTGGGGATGCTAGTTAAAAGCAGTGTATTATCAAATCACGCTAGGAAAGAACTATAACCATACCTTGTGGAGATTGGCTATTTCCCAAACCTTACTTGAAATCAAATTACCCCTTCAAATTTTTCCTCCTATGGTGTGAGGGACGCGAAGACCAAGTTTTGTCATCATTGTTTGCAATGTAAAGAATGAAAAGAGGTAATATTTTTTTAGAAGAGCATTGAGCATGACAAAAGAAAGCTCCTGATCTGGCAAGATACCCGCCTGCAGCATCATGTTAAAGAATATAATTGCCTCATCAACATAATTTCTTTTACATAGTCTATTAATTGCTGCACAATAATCGTTGATTGAAACTTCATACCCCGCTCTTAGCATTCTTTCAAAGAGAAGAATAGCTTTTTTTGGCATTCCCATCACACATTGTGCTTTAATTACTGTGCTATAAGCAAACATCCGCAAATGGACTCCCCTCGCTAACAAATTATCCAGAAAAAGTTCTGCACTTTCAAGTTTTCCTTTCAAACAAAGCACATTGATAAGCAAATTATAAGTAACAGGAGTGGGTGAAACATCATGCTCCATCATTTCCCTAAGAACATGAAAAGCCATCTTCAGGTTAGAAACTTCACAAAAACCCTGTATAAGAGTATTATAAGTAATACCATCTGCCCCTAAACCAATTTCATTCATATCCTTGAGAAGTTTAACAGCCTCATCTAGCCTACCATTCTTGCATAGCCCTTTCATAACTACACTATATGTGACAATATTAGGTGTAATAGATTTTCCAATCATCTCATCAAGCAACTCTGACATAACTTCAAAATACCCAGATTCACTAAATGCATCCATTAAAGTGGTGTAAGTCACTATAGTAGGTGCCACTCCATTACGCACAAAAGCTCCAAGAAAATGCCTTGCAGCATGTAGTTGACCAATCTTGCAGAAGCCTAAGAGAAGGGAATTACAAGTTACAATATTTGGAGTTATTCCCTGTTTGAGCATCCATTCATACAACTCAATAGCACCGTTAAAATCATCTTCCTTAACATATCCATCAATCACTATGTTGTACAAAATGACATCGACAAACAGGCCACAACTACATAAATTATCCAGATACCTCCTAGCTTCTGCTATCATTCCTTTCTTGCATAGGCTTGAAAGAAATGCCCCATGAATGAATGAGTTGGGACTTAAGTTTTTTGAGTGCATTACTTCACATGCTTGAAGGGCTTTATCAATATGTCCTAGCCTACAATATCCATTAATGAGGATTGAATATGCTACTAAATCAATATTCAATCCAATGTCTTCCATCTCATCAAATAACATTTCCATTTCTTTGATACAACCCTTTTTGCACAAAGAACTTAGAAGCACGCTATAGGCAATAATATTCAACTGAATTCCATGCTCCATCATATACTTCCTCATCCTCAATCCAAACTCGAGATTATCCTGCTCACAATGTCCGGAAATTAGAATAGTGTATGTAACAAGATCAAGTTTGAGACCTCTAACAACCAGCCTATGGATGAGCCTATAGGCCTCACTCATATACCCCAGTAAGCGGAACCCATTCATCAGAATGTTATATGTCACAATGTCATGATCAATTCCATCCCTCTCCATTCTCTCTGAAACTTCTAAAGCCTCTTTCAAAGATCCCTTCAAGCATAAACCATGAATGATGGGAGCATAACTATATCTATCAGGAATCAACCCATATCTAAGCGCCATGGAAAGAAATGACATTGAAATTTCTAGAAACCCTGCTTTACAGAATCCGGAAATCAGAGAATTGAAGAAAACAATGCAAGGGGTAAACTCTTTCCTCTCCCTAAGCTCTTGGAAGAAAGAATATGCTTCTTGCAACTTCTTTAGCCTGATGAGAGCTCCTATGAAGATACAGTCAGTGAATTCACTAAATGAAATCCCCCGAAATTTGATTTCTTCATAGATGTCACAAACCATATCACTGTTCTGCAAGCTATGAAGCAAATTGTCATACGTTGATATTGAAGCCTGGATGTTCAGAGTATCCATTCTTCTGAGGACAAAGAGAGCATCGTGTGCCATTTTTGATCGAGCGTAAGCATTGGCAAGCATATCCCACACTATGAAGTTACAATCAAAGTTCTGGAAGACCTTCCACAGCAATTCACAAAGTGAAGAAGCAGAGCCAGTTCCTACCAGGAGAAAAATCGAGCAGAAGAATAAACAATTGAATTTTTTCACTTGTGTGGGAAAACTAGTTTTGGCAAGGTTGTGGACAAGGGTAGTGCGCATCACCTTCTTTCTCGACTATTTGCCTCAATACGATTCCAGTCTCCTTCAACCTTCCATGTCTCGCCAGCTCATGACAATTTCTCAATCTCGAAATCCTGTAATCCTTCGGATCAGCTCGGAAGAAACCATCGCACTGGAAGGAATGGGGCTTCTTTGGAAAAGCTCCTCCGAAGGAAGCGGAGCTACAAGCGGTGGAGAACTCGAATGCGGGGTCAGTTTCGGCCATGTCAGCAGACGAAGAAGACGAGTACTTGGCCCAGAGAAAAGAATGGGGGAATCGAGGGAGAAATCGGAGCTCAAGCAGATGGGGACAACGGAGCATGGATAAGCTAGGGTTTCATTGTGGTACCGGAAGAACAGAAGGAACCCAACGTTTCAATCGAAATTGAAAATTTTGAGGGGCATATTTTATAGTATTAAGTAATGAATTTCGACTAATCCATCCAAAAGCAAAAAAATAGCTTCGTAAATACAATTTTCTTATCTTTCGGCGTGAAATCTCGGATTTAAAGGATTGTAAGTAGTGCTAATGGAAAACCCGTGGCGCCCGTGTCGCCTTACTTATGGTTGAGCTTGGTCTTCAGGCTATTTACGGCAACCAATCATTCCATTGTCGAAGCCACCTCCCATCGAATAGCAACCACATCGATCAATGTCTTCATCCTCTTCTTGTTGTAGATTAGCGAGCCATTTTATTCCTTTTTTTCTATCATTCGAGCAACAATGATTGAATTCTCAGCATCTCACAACATCAATATCTCCATTCTCGATCGTCATTTTTCTCATGAACGAACTCATTCTCGCCTCCATTCATGAACCTCTCAAGCAATCGGGGCCGCTGCCCAAGGGGGATTAAGGGTTCGTTTGGCGCTGCGGCAGAGCCACTGCACGGTACAACGCAGCCCTTTTCTACTGTTTGGGGCGGCGGTGCAGCCGCGGCCTACCGCGATTTAGCTCGAATGCGGAACGCTCTCCCTCGCCCACGACCTAGCTTTCTCCTTCGACTTTTTACCCTAGTGTCCTTACCCTGCCAGCCCGTTCTTCATCTTCTCTTGTGTTCCCGATTGCAGGTTTCTGTCAAGGAGGCGAATCGGCGCCCTCGAAACCCTATGGGAGACGAGTGGGAGACGAGTGGGAGACGAGGAAGTCAGGCCTCTCCCCCCTCTAGAAGTCGCATGTCCAATCCCTCCTAAATCTCCCTATTTTCAGGGAGTTGGACCCTATAAGATTGCTACTGCAGCTTCTCTATTTCTTGATATCTAGGATTCGATTCCTTTTATGGCTCCAAAAAATCGCACTGTACTTTTTGAAGCTATGCAGTCCAGTCCCATCCAACCTGAGAAGAAAGTAAAGTTTTCTTAATAAAAGAACCTATTTATATGTAAGAGTAAGAAATTCAGTTTTACAGATGTCTTGATGTGTTTCCTTTATCAACACCTTATGCTTCTCTTTGCTCTAACCAGCTGATATCTGCCTACAATTGCAGAGACTGAATGCAAGATGTAACCCCTTCTAAAACATACATCCTACTGTTGTTATTAGGCCAGAAACGAAACTGAAATATGCTGGTAATTCTTATCTATTTTAATGATGTTAATTCTTCAGAATTATGCTGGAACTTCGTTTTATTGGGATTTGATTAGATTTCTATATGTTGTTATAGTTTTACTTTTATATGCAATTCTGCAGGATTATAGATTTTATATAAGATTGATAAGAAAAAATCTTGGCTGATTTGGTTGTTCTATTTCTTATGATAATTCTTCTTGTTGCTCTTTGTGTGTAATTCTAATATCGACAATTTTGGTTTTCTCTGTTTAGTTTTATCTAGTGCTTAAATGTATGGTTTGTTCTTTGCTTTCCTCTCAAGTTTTGTTTTCTCTGTTTAGTTTTATCTAATATCGACAATTTTTAATTAATGTTAACTGATTTCTTCAAAGAATTATTTGTTTAATATAAAAAATAATTTTATCCTCTGTTATATACATAAATATTACACAAGGAAAAGATAATCATTTTCCTAGAAACAGTTGCCCCACAGTTGTTTTCACACAGCTGCAACAAACAGGCAGCCAGCTTCCCCGCAGTAGTTTTCTAAGGCAGCACAGCTGCAGCAGAAAAGTTGAGAAACTGCAGCTGCCCCAAATAGAGCCTAAGTATTTGTAAAACAACACTTCATGCTTTATGCAGAATAGTGTAAGGCCATCTTGATTTGAATTTAATGGAAAACCTCTTCATGTTGTCCTGACCATCTAGATATGCGCTGGATGCCCCTTTTTTTTTACTATATTATTGATGTTGTTTTTTTGGTTTAGTTCAGTTAGGTTGAACTTTGAAGCAGTCTTATCAATAATTTAATCTTGCTTGATTAGAAGCAATTGAGGTGAATTCGTGTAGAGTGGCATAAATAGTTATGTGGACTATTCTATTTGATATGTTTAATTGGATGAAAGTTGATTATGGTGTGGTAGTTATTGTCGCAAATAAAATAATATACAAAGCAAGGATCTTCTTTATTTGGTATTATGACATTCCATTTTTATTTGTTGTTTTTTTTCTTTCTGTTTTGAACCTCTTTTTTGATGATTTGTTTGTACAAAACAAAAAAAGAACATATGTTCAACTCAACTATTACTTAAACCCACTCGAGAATGCCTAGACCTTCTTCACAACTTTGTTCTAACCTCTCAAGACAACTTTGTGTCGTGTAGAATTTGTAACATCAATTTGTTTTAACCTCCGAATGTCATCTTAGACATCTTTATATTGATGTTATTTTTATAAAAATTTATGGTTGAGATGATGATGCAACATAGGCATAGCGGGCAACCATACTAACAATAATGAGCCAAAGCAAAGGAATTATTGAAATTAGTTTAGTTGTTTATATAAGTATCTCTTTTTTTGTCTAAAAATTATTTTAATACCATGAGATGATGATGCTTTCTTTTCTTGATGTGTTTTATTTTTTTGAAATTAGTTTAGTATGCTTTATTTTAACATTAAAGTTTTTAGCCTTTGTAAGTATCCCTTATTTTCTTACAAAATTATTGAAACTCTAAACCTCTTAAAAACACATCATGATGGCGTACAACTAATGCAATGTAAACTTAATCCGCCTCATCGACATTAATCTTGCATCTTTTACACATAAATTTTTTTATATATATTTGTCAAACATTCTCTTAATTGCACTTATGTAACATACTTTGATTTTGAACCAACGTAGCATACAAATCTTGTATTTTAGATACTTGTCGCACAACTCCTATTAAAATGAATAAAGGTTAGAGAAGTACGATAAGAAATTGATCTAAGAAGTTAGGCACCCTAATATCACCTCTCTTTTATTCATCTTCTTTGGCTTAATTAGCTTCTTAGTAGTAGGGTTACTGATCAAAGTACAAGAACAATGAAATAGATGTTTATGTCGGCTTAACCTAAGTTATGTTTTTTTAAAAAATTATGGCTAATTGAACATAAGTAATTATTAGTAGTTGTGAGCATTGACAATCTTACCACAAATGATAAATGTAACCATACTATTTTTCATAAGAAAACCAGATCATGACAACAAAAAAAATAACATTCTAAGCGATCATGACTCATGAAATTTTAGTTACATTCAAACCTCAAATATGCTAGACAAATAAGACTAAACAAAAAAATGGTATTGCTTCTTCACTAATCTATAAACTTAAAGTGATCATACTAATTATTTTTCTATGAACATAATTTTGTTGATGTTGAACATCTTGTAGTGATGATGAAAGTTCTAAAAGGAAAGTTGAATTGGGGTTCCCCCAGTTCAAAACCATCCCTTAATGAGAATATTTCCATCCATACCGAAAACTAAAAAAGTACCACTAGATTGCCAAATATCCTGAAGAGCACAATTTTATTCTTGCGGAGTTGATGCTAGAACAATTTAAATGTGGACATATGATAGAAGGCAAAATGAGGAGGGATTATTGGGTTGTCATTGTCGACACATTGAACAGATGATTAAACACCACTTATACTGAACGAATGGTTATGAATCGGTTAAAAAACTATGAAAGCTAATTTTCGAGCGATGTATCAGTTATCTAACCACAGTGACTAGGGTTGGGATGAAGATATGCACCTACCATTAGCAACTGATGAAATATGGGAAGAAACTATAAATTTAAGTTATCAAACTAGTTGTATATCTGAAATTAATCATTTTTTATAGTAAATATTTTGAAAAAAAAATTGTAAGTTGACCCAATGTTGAAACGATATCGAAGGAATCATTTCTACTAATATAATATTTTCAAAAGAATTTATTTTAAAAATAGTGCAACCGGTGTTCCAGCCATTGGTTCCGAACCTGACTTCTCTCCAAAGGTGAGAGAAGTAGAGGAAGTTATCAAGATTGTTGATGAATTTATGGTCATGAATGGATTAAGCTATGTAGATGAGTTGGGTGTGCCAGGTCCAGAACCGTACGTTCAATTAGACACGGATGTCATCATGTGAGAATTATCTTGTCAATCGAGTAGTAGCAAACGTCCAAACTCAAGAGTCCATCGCAATAAACAACTTACTAAAAGAAGAGGAGATACATAAAATTTGAAAGTGTCGCTTCAGATAGTTAACAAAAATGCAGTACTATTTCAACAACAGTAAGGCCGTCAGTCTCCATTCACCACTGTTGAATGTTTGGCCAAGCTTCGCAGCATTCTAAACATTTCCAATAAAGCTAAAATTGCGATTGATGATGTTAAAAGTGAGCAAAGCTGACAAAGTTTTTTTCATAACAATGGATGGGCCTCAGTTTTACCATTTGATCAAAAATGTTATTCGAGGCCATCCTTGTTTGTGTCACTACCCAGCTTGAATTTGATAGAATATCTCATTGTGTTTGGTGTGTTTGTTGTGTCTTTATTTCCATTTTATCTTTCAATCGACTACCATTATATATTCCTTGTATGCACTTCTTGTTTATTGTAATGAAAAATATTAAAATTATTGAGTGGTATTCGATAGATTATTTGAAGGTGTTTCCATACAAATTTGTCTTGTGCACCTAAACTATGCTTCTCCCGTTTAGGACTTTTTGCATGGTTCAAACTCTCTTCTTGTGACATGTAGATCCCCATTACTAGTCATTTTTTCTCATTGAAGCATATACTTAGGCTATTGACAATCTTGACAAGGAGCTTGATCACCTGAAGAGATCATTTGTGGTTTTTCTTATGAAACTCTTTATTCATCTTAGTGAGTTGGCTTATTTATTTAAAAATCTATTTTCTCTTCTTGCATCACTTTTTTATGGTGGCATATGTGGATTTGTTATTTGAAAATATCTTAAATGTCATTAGTTGTTAGTTATGGAAGATATGCGGATTAGTTGTTTCATTTCT